TAGTATGTAATATTTTTCTAGAGACAGATCCTCTTCTCCTATCGTTTCCTATGACATTTGTATAAGCTATTTTTGGAAGATCAATCAAGGGACATATAGATGCCAATGATATTGCATATAACAGTAAACACAATCAAATATTTCCTTAAGTAGGAAAAATGATGGAAGACGAGATGGAAAGAAATCAAAACTGGACTGATCCCAGTGCAGGACAAGAAACAGGAGATGGATCCAAAGAAGAGGAGGAGGAAGATGGGACAGAGCAGGAGGAGGAGGAGAACCCATATACTTTTGCTGAGACTGAGGACAATGAATATGATCTGATCCTGGCCAGCTTGAGTATAAGGAAGAAAACCGGAAATCGCTCCTTCATTATAAACAGACCTCCTGCCCCCACACCTCGACCCATATATGTTCCACCCAAAGAAGAAGCAACACCTTACATAGCTCAAGGTAATATTGTGTTTGTTCATGAATTTTTTTTGTCCCATTGTTTATGGGAAGGATGGGATTGTTTGGGGTGGTGGGGAGGTAGAAAATGAGGTCATTAGTGCTTTGAAACACTAAATGTTGCAAAACTTTTTCAAGTCACATGTAAACTACATTGGCCCAATTTTTAAAAATATTTTAATGAATTCTTTCAGAGTATCATACAATGGATTTTGATCGTTTCACCACACACTCCTTCCCCTAACTTCTCCAAGATCCACCCCCCACCTTCCTACCCCCTCAACTCTTTTTTAAAAATAACCCATCAAGCCTTCCCATAAACTCATATGTGTGGTCCATCTACTGGATCATGGTCCACCTACCAAGGAACAAACCTTTAAAGAAAACTGACTCTCCCTCCACCAGAAGCTAGAATTTGACACTATGGATGTCAATTACACCTCAGTTACAGATAGAGTCTCTTGAGCCACTCCCCTCTACATGCCAGGATGTTTACTGGCTTGATCTTGTGACAGTCTTATGCAGGTAACCACAGCTGCTCTGAGTTCATGAGTTCAGCAGTCTTGTCATGTCCACAATATACTCTTTTTCTCTGGTACTCTCTACCCTCTAGCTTTTACAAACTTTCAGGCCCCTCTTCCAAAATGGCCCCAAGCCTTGGGGTGGGAGAAATATAGCCATCACATTTATGGCTGAGTACTCAACAGAAATTTATTTTCTACACTTTTATCAGTTGTGAGTTTCTATGCTAACCACAATCCACTTCACAAAGAAACTTCTCCGATGAAGTCTAAGAGCTGGGCACTTAAATATTAATTTAGATAGCAGTTTGATACTGTGTCTGTTATAGCAAAATAATAGCAGCAGGTTCACTCTCAGAGCCTATGTGCTCCCCAACAATGGGTTCTTGACCAGATTTTCAGTACTGGACATGAATCTCCTCCTATAGATTGACCTTAAATCTAGTCAGGAAATGATTGATTACCCTCATAACATTCATGCCACTATTGTACCCATAGGCATATCTTTCCATATCGGTATATTGGTGATTATTGTAGCTCACGGAGTTCTAAGTTGGGAAAGACTATTGATTACTTTTTGCCCTCAGTGGTCTACATAGCATCTCCTAGTATTATGAAAGCTGGCAACAGAGAGGAAGCTTCCTAGTCAGTATAAGCTTCATTTATCCATGTTCTGTGACCAAACTGTGTAGTATCTTTGGCAATACAGTATTAGCATCAAGCGCTGGCTGTACTGAGCAACCAAAAGCAATGCCTGTATTGTTTTGAAGTTCTCCAAGGGAGATCTCTCACAGCTGGCCCTGGGTATTTCAGCAACCTAGGGCTTTTGAGAGGAGTATTATCTCTGTGTAAGGTAACTAATTAAACTCTCCTCTACGAAAAAGAATATGACTGTTGCTTATGAAATAATAGGTTTCCATGCTGATTTTTCAGACATCCTTAGTGCTAGCTAACCCATCCCTGCCTCCTCTGTCCCACCCTCCCATATCTTTCCCCATTGTTGCTGAAATGGTGGGCGTCCAGCTGGGCGAGACCCTTCCTTGAAGGAATATGATAGAGAGTGCTGGAAGAGGACATCACATGTCTTCCTCACAGGCATACATGTGTGTACCCTTGTGCATACAGCCCACACATGAACGTATTAAATTGTTTTTCCTGCTTCTAGTCCTGCCACACACAGACTTATGTCCCTGTCTTCTACTTCTGTTCCACTTCTGTAAAGACTGACTTCCTGTCTTGCTGGATTACCTCATTATACATATTGGAGAAGGGAGTGGGAGCTATGACTACTTCAGGCTTCAACCAGACCCCATGTCAAATACATGTATTTGGGATGGTATTCTCCCATGCTCTTGATTTATTAAGGACATAAAAATGAATAGAATTAATGAGAAAATCCTTGTATGTGTTTTTAGTGGTTAAATCTGTCTCAGACTTACAGAAACAGCATGTATTGGAATTTGAATTTCAAATCTTGAGTTTTTATTAGAAGTTTTGTGTCCTTTTTCTCATCTATGCAGCCTAAGCCTAGCGAACTCACTATTTATGAGACATCTCTCTCATTCAATTAGAAAATCTATGTTCCCCTGATAGTTGTTTTATGTGGAAATCGGACCCAGTGTTTTGTCATCTTAGTATATAAAACAGGTCTGATTATTTGCCAAACATGCCACACAAATCTGTGGCAAAACTCAGACTCTAAATGAAGCTACCAAAGTCTTTCTGCCTATATGTTTCCCTCCTTCCCTCCATCACTGGGATGTATTTGCCTCTCATTGTTGCTCTTGCATTAGAGAGGCAGCTAATTCCTCATTGACTTGTTTGCATTTCACAGAGAAGGAACTTTTTGCCACCACTTTTGTTTTGTTCCCTCATCCTGAGTTCAGGCGGATCTAATGGTGGGGTTTCCATCATTTCCCAGAAGTCATCTATTAATCATACATTCCACTAGAAAGTAACTTCCCGTTTTTAAAATTTATTTTTATTAGTGTCAGGAGGTGAACATGCATGCCACAGCACATATATGAAGGTAAGAGGACAACTTTATGGAGTCATAAAGTCTCCTTCCACCTTTACATACCATGAAGGGATTGAACTCAGGTCCTCAGTCTTGTGCAACAAGCACTTTACCCACTGAGCCATCATCTATCACGCACAACTTCCCATTCTTCAGTCTCGTTAGAGACACAGTGTAGTAGAATGCTGGCACACCATGATGTAACATAGTGAAAGAGGAAGGTGTAATGTATAGACTAGAGAAAGAAAATGATACAGAATCCAAGTTTCCCATTTCAAAGACTAGGCAAAGGAAAACCAGATAGAGGAACCGTGGTGGCATTGCAAAGACCTGTGCTCCGGATCTGCTGATGTAGCCTAACCAAGTATCTTCATGTGTCTGAGATTAGATTATATTTGGGATAGCAATCATATCTACATCACAGATTCATACTCTTTACATGAGATAAAATTAGCAAATGCATAGCATGAAGCTTTGTATGCAACATTTGTGTAATACATTATAATTTTAAACAATTCTACTTTCTTTTCTCATTTTCTGAGCATAGAAAGACTGTGATAAACTAAATACTATAGAAAGATTCTGCATGTTTCTTGAATTAGAAATCAACATTAAGGAAAATAGATTTGAGAGCCACAGTGTGTGGTGGAAGGAAGAGCCTGGGCTCTAATCAGACACTTTGGTGTGGTCTGCCACTTACAGTATTAGGAGGTAACATCTGTGATCTCTCCCTCATGCAGTGGACCTGGGTGGCTTACATTGCTAGCCTCGTTTTAAGGCTATGGGAGCTGATGTGCAGAGAACGTCAGTGCACTGTCCTAATAAAGAAACCAGGAAGAGGCAGCAGAATTGGCTCCAAGTCATTCTGCTTCCTACACACATGGAACCACTTCTTGGTCTGATGTATTTCACTTTCTTGAGTTCATATTGTTGTCCTCCTTCTAACCCATAAGACCCACAAAAAACAGACCAATCTCACCTGTCTTCCTATCTCTAAATCTTTGTTCCCAAGTTCAATGTTGAATTCACAGCAGAAACTGCTGACTAAACAATAGTGGAAGGTGGGGTGGATCCACATTCACATGGGTACAGTGGAAGACTTCGCTAAGACTCTGAAATATAGTCCAAAGACTATGTCAATCTAGAATTCCTAAATTTCCACATATTTAAAACAGCCAATTTTTGAAGCACTACTAATTTTGTAGGGCACAGCCCACACAGAAGGGATACTCCCATATAGCTCAGCTTTCTGCTTACTATAGATCATACATGAGAGAGAAATTCTACCTCTACACTGCCACCGTCCAGAAATGTGGCTTAGCAGTTCAAACCTGAGCACTTGTCATCCTTTTTATCAAGTGACACGTTTCTGAGTCTTCATCCCGTTGTTGTTCTATTAAACCTCTCTCACATTAACAACCACAGAAAGAACAGCTCATTTTTCTCCAAAAGTTCTCTATTCTTAGATCTCCCTATTCTTAGATGTCATGATCTTACCACTTTTCTCTACCTGTTACATTGAATAAAATCAGATTCATTAAGCATCAATAATTCAGTGGAATTCTGTAGATTAATGGTCTCGTTAGTGACAGAATTTTTAAGTATTTTATTTATTATTTTTATTTTATGTTTATGAGTGTTTTGCCCACATGTATGTCAGTGCATCCATATGGGGCAATGCTCTCCAAAGCTAGAAGAGGGTGTTGGATCCCCTGGAACTGGAGTTACAGACCATTGTTAGTCACGATGTGGATGCTGGGAATTGAATCCAGGTTCTCTGCCAGAACCGTCAGTGCTCTTAACTGTTGAGCCATCTCTCCAGGCTCAAGTGACAGAATTCTTGATCAAGGAAATAAAATGGATAGTTGGTTTAGCATAGACAGATCAGTAGAAAAACTATACCATAGGTCATGGAAGAAGTGAATGCCTATTGGGGAAAAATTTTTCGATGTCAATGAGCCATTTTTCCTTTACTCTCTCATACGTTTAATAGAACAAAGATAGATCAAAGTCCACGTGGCTGATTTTAGTGTGGAATGTAATTTCTCTTTCAATTTACAATTACTCCTGAGTTACCCTTGGCATTTTGCATACAACAAAGTTGTATATGACCTTTCTGAAAGCGTCTCAGTTACGGGACCCCAAAATGTCAAGTACAACTCAGTTGCTCTCAGAAAATTTCCACTTGCAATCCACTTGTACTTGAAACTGATCACATACAATACAGTTGAAATATAAAAAGAAAAAAAAGACATTGTAGAAACTCTTGGGGGAAGTAGTCTGCAAATGTGACAGAGTGGAATGGCTTCTGTCCTCATCAGTAAAGAAATAGTCAAGTAGGTTAAAGTGGGCCTTAGAGCAGGTGCCTTGGATCCTACTCTCTGCCTAGGTGACCTTGTCCAAAACATTTAGTTTCAGGACATAGTATATCTGTAACAGGTGCTCTCAGAAGAGAGTGATGTCCT